AACACATCTCCTGTCAGTTTGGTACCTGCCAGAGTCCTGGCATGAGCCATCAGTGTCCACGCCGTGCCTTCTTTATAGACGTGCATGGGACGGTGTGCTCGTTTGGTCTTTGTGCCCTTGGACAAACGTCCAGTTCAACGTCAATTCAGAAAGCATTAATCTGAATCTCAAATGCGTCAGGGAGAAAGCCAGATGAAGAGAACAAGGCCAAGGCTGTGCAACCTGAAGGACGCAGGGAAATGAGCTGGGGATGATGGTGTGCTCGCTCTGTTTCCTTGCAGAAATGTGAGCTAGCCAGCAGAACTGCCAAGCATCAGATTTACAGCAAAGAGCAGCACTCACAGGGCACAGCTGCGAATTTCTGCCAAACAACAGCATGGCAGTCAAATGTATGGATTTCTAAAGAACTACATGCCTTTGTAAAAGCTGTGGCCATGAGAGGCTCCCTGATTGCAACCAGAAGGACAAATATCTACATAGGATTAATTAAAAAACAAGCAAACAACAATCCTGTTACCTTGTGTACGCCATGTCCTAGATTTGGACATGACCATGATTCGATGGCCATCTTCCCTCAGCAAATGGGATAAGCAAACCAAAGAGAGGCAGGGCACAGTGCTGAGCATTCAGCCTCTGCAGCCCGGTCAGAAGGGGTGAGATTCTCCAGTCCTGGCAAACACACAAAGTGAGCTCACAGATAAACCAGCAGCACCATTTGTTCCAGCCTGCCTCACTTGTGATAAACCAGGTTTCAAGATCTTCTGGTCATCAGAAGGGAATCCAACATAGTTGCTAGCTATCCAAATCGCAGGAATGAGCAACGATACCAGAATGCGTAATGACAGATTTACAATCGATCACATAGCAGTCCTCGGGTTGGGGACAGCTGAAGGGCTTTGTGAGAAATGCTAGTGCATTACAGAGAGCTCCAAAGGAGCACACGGGTCTACAGCAAGGAGTGGAGCCCGGTTGGGTTCGGTCCTTTGAAGAGCCATTATAAGCCCAAAGGTAGTTTCCTAGACAGGAGAAAGACTTCCGTCTGCCAGTGGGACAAAAATACCACTTTCTTGGGATGGATCAGTTTGGACTGACCCAGGATTTGGGAGCTGACTGTGAGGTAATAATAATTAGTATCAAACCCTTTTTGGATTCCCAGTCTTTGGTGAGTAGGACAGCATTATGGCCAGGGCTCAGCAGCTCTGGGTTCTGTGCCTCACTTCTCTACTTCAGCTTGGATAAGTCTCACTGCAGGCTTTATTCAGCAGAACACTTGGAGGCAGCCCTCAAGACCAGGTTTACACAGAGAACTGTATGTTCTACAGTCTGATGGGCTGTTTGGGGCCACTGCTGAGCATACGGCACAGGTTGCTCACCTTCAAAGTCTTTGAATGCACATGAGGAAGGTTGGAGAGTCCATCATACTCCCAGGAGACACAGCCTTAGCCTGCCTTCTGAAAATGAGATCAGTCCACCCATACATAAGTAAGCCGTAAGAAAGGGCAGTATGGAGCTGCAAGAGGAAGGAGAGTAATAGCTCATTTAAGGCTTTTAGTATTCTAACCATGAGATGAGGAAGGGGACTGACCAGGAATAATGAAAGCTTGCGTGCAGGGGCAAAGTCAAGAGGTGCCAGCCAATGCTCTGAGGCTATGGAGGTAAGACAGAAAGGATGTGATGAAGGGTCTTCCTAGGAAAAGACAGAGTGCCTATGGCACGTCAAGTTTGGCAAAGGAGATGATGCCTTGGCAGAGACACCAGGATAAAACACTGATATTAAGGAAATAGGTGGAAATATTAAAAAAGTTTTTGATTGTACGCAGCACAATTTGAGAACAGAGAAGGTGATTGCAGCTTCCAGCAGGACCTGGAAGGAAAGAACTGATGGCAGTGTGAGCACAGAGTGGGCTAGAGGACTGTGAAAAATAGAATAGGACAGTAAATTGGAAAAGCAGGTGAGTAGGAAATGTAAAAAAGAATGTGACTGAGAAAGAATGAAGGGGTGGTGTTTGGGGATAGAAAGACAGATAGGACCAAGGTCTATGGACCAGGGTTTGTGGATTTGTCAACTGTCAGTAGTGTTCTCATCAGGGCTGGAAGCAAAGAGTCAAGATGAATTCAAGAAGTCGTGGGACAAGAGGATTGAAAGGAGCAGGTCAGGAGTGGCTAACTGAGCTTCCCCAGAGTAACAAAGAGGGCTGACGGCCAACTCAGTAGGTGGAGAACTGGGCAGGGAGTCACTGAGCGCAGAGAGCCCACAGGATGGGGAGAGGGCAAGTCAGAGTGGTGAGAGGAACAGTGAGGAGCAACCTGGAGGAACTCAGTGAGGGGAATTGCCAAGAAGTGGTAAAACTCTCTGTAGGCTTGAATAAAACTCCCCAGCAGAGCTGCTGAAGCTGTCTATCATGTGCCCACTGTAGCCCACTCAAGCGTGAAGATCTGTGTGTTAGTTTAAATCACTCAAGATGTTCTAAGTCATTTTTGCTTTGCCACCAGCATGCGCCTTGGCTCAGCTGACGTGGCTCAGCTCAGTGTGTTGAGATGTGGTCATTTGATCTCTTGCAGTGAGTCTGAGGAAGGGTGGAGCAAAATCACTTCTTGCATCTGGCGATGTCCAGTGGCACTGGCACATCTCTGGGTGACAGTTCCTCAACAGGCCTGAGCTTGAGTCCGTAATGTCTGCTCTGCATTAGACGCCCTTTGGGCTTAGGAAATGCAAGTCGCTGAGAGCCGGGCAGCCATGACCACGTAACACCAAGTCAGGTGTGAGGGAAGCACTAATCCTGTGTGCAATTGCTTGGCAGGAGGAGCTGCTGTGGTTTCCCCATAAACTGTTTGTGCCTGGGGAAGCCAGCAGTCTTGAGTCGTGCACCAGCAGCTGGTCAGGCCCTGTGGTCTGCTCCTCCTGCTTCTCTTGTTCAGGCTCTGCTCTCAGGCTCCGGGCTCTCCGGGCATCCTGGTGTTTGTGAGGTCGTGTCAGAGGGCAACACTTTGTGGAGCAGCTGGGAAACCCATGGTTCTTAAAAGCTGCCTCTTGTTTGAAAGCAGTCTTGGTCCCAGCATCCCCTTCGCCCTCAGCCACTGCCCGTCCCTCCACCTGGCGGTGTGGGGCTCCTGCAGGCAGGGCGCTGGTGTGTGGGCAGCCTGACCAGCACCGCATTGAGTTACAGTCAGGCCCCCACAGGAATGCAGGGCCCTGCCAGTGTGACCCGTTCAGATATCCCAACCAACAGCAGGAGCCACTGGCTGTCTTTAAACCAGATAGGTCAAGTTAATGTCACAGCTCAGCTTTGCCAGAAGGAAGGCTGGAGTGCAGTGTGGGGGAGATAGCTGGGTTTGCTTTTCCTGTTTGTCCTGTATTTTTCCATTCCTTTGTTCAGCCGCTCCTTCCCACAGATCAGCACAGACCTGTTGGGAAGGCACCAGGTTTGGGATGCTGGAGGGCAATGCTGAAGCCCTGGTGGGCCAACCTTTCCCTGGGTTGCACAGATGGCTTCTGGGAGCTGCTCGAAGCCCCTGGCTGCTACAGCATGAGCCACCAAATAAAGAGACCTCTCAATTCAGAAAAGCCTGAGCAGCAGCACTTTGTCTGTGCACCCAGCAAGACTCTTCTCAGCCTAAAGATCAGGTCCTGATCAAGCTGCTCGCACCTGCCATGCAAGTAAGGAACGTGATTCCTTGCACCAGCTCCCTGCAAGGAAACTTAGTAAGCCACAGCTGTGCTTGGAGACAAGAGAAGCAGATTTAGGAGCGGAGTGCAGAGATTTATTTTACAAGCATATGAGGAGTGACCCCAAAGGGCGCCCGCCTGTGAGCTGACCCGAAATGCAAACCTGCTGTTCACAGCATCAGCAGGCAGGCGCTGGGCTCGCAGCTGATCCACTGTAATCCATAGGCTCTAGGGAAACAATCTAACACGTCCTTATCATTAAATACTCGTGTGAGAGCTCAGGAGTCACTTGTATCCCTGCTTCTGGTTTGTAGCTGCAGCAGTTTCGCTGGCAGCACTCAGTGGTGTTTGCTGAGAGAGAGCAAAGCGTGGCAGCTGGCTGCAGCCCTGCATGTTTGTGCCTCCCTAGCTCCGACACAGCCCTCTTCCTTAAGTCACGTTCATGTCTAAGCTGCCATAAGCAGGATGAGTGCAGAACAGGCAAGGCACGGTCGAGAGCCCAGAAGATATTTTGGGGTTGGTTAAAAGGGGATTTCTGTATTCAGCTGCTCTGTGCCCAAGAGCAGCTGTGGCAAGGGGCTGTCAGCAGCAGAGGGCACTGACGGTGACAGCAGCGTGTGGCTGACGGGTACAGGACCAAAAATGATACTTGCATGTCAAGTAAAGCAACTTGGAGTTGTGTTCTTTTCTCCCTGTGATGGTAAAGGAAGGGATTCTTTGTTCTGATCTTTTGAAGTCAGTGGAATGGTTTCCTTTATTATCCCAAACTACAAAGCCACAAATGCTCACCACCTGGGGATCAATGTCCATTTCCACTAAGAAACTCTGTGAGACTTCAAACGCCATTTCGCCTCATTTCTTTTCCTGGTTCATCTTTTTCTCTGCTGTGGTTGCTGAGTTTGTTCATCGTCGTTCCTCCTTGTGCATGTCAGCCACGCCAGTGGTGTCTTCTGGAAAGATGAGCAGTGGCCATTCTTTGCTCTTTCACCCAAACTCTGGAGCATGCAGTGCCAATTTTCAGGTCTCTGAATGTTGCTTTTTTAAGGAAAAAAAGTCCTGAGAAGGACTTTGCTCTCGACGTGGTTGTACAGCAGCACTGCTGAAGGACTCACGCCGGATGGGATGGCGACCACTTTGCTGGGTGGAGCAGCTGAAGGCAGCCGAGAGCAGGAGCGCTCCAGCTCTGCTCCTGTGATGCCCGTGGTCTTAATCGTAGTGATGGTGGAAAGCCCCAGGGCTTCCTGCTCTTCTCTCAGAGCAAAGGGTCAGGTCAAGGAGGCACCCACCTGAGGTTGTTATTCTTTTTTGTTTGTTTTGTTTTGTTTCTGAACAGGAGAGAACCACTCCTCCTGGAAGCACTGAGAATATTGTGGAAGAGATTGGTGAGTTGGGCCAAACTCTAAGATTGTGCTTTTGCCACTTCAACCAGAAGTGATGGGGTGAAACACTCCTGGCTTTGCCCTCTCGTGCATGAACATCTGTACTTCCAGCCAGCTGTTCAGATTCCTTCCTCGTTAGCGCTCAGTGCTGTGCAGTATCTGCTGGGCACAAGGGGAGTTGTTGATTTCAAAACCAAACTTTATCTTGTCCCCTTACAAAGCAACCCTTCCTTCACATGGAAGCGGTGAGACCACAAGTTGAGACTTCAGTGGGCAGGGCTGGTCAAATGAAGGAGAGCTGCACCAGGCTGGGTCGTGTGGGGTTCATGCTTGTCCCAGCCCTTCAACCACCAGCAGGTTCCCAACCAGCCCTCAAAAACATGTGGTCGACAACTGGTGGCAGCTCCTGGAAGCGTTAGATGTTTTGCTACTATCGCCCACAAAACTATTTTTTTTTTAACAACGTGAAATAATTAAATCCATGTTTTGTTTTAGAGGAAATCTTCTGTTGCTGAAAGAAAAGCATTTATCAGTAACGAGATGATCTTAGTTCAGATGCTGTTCTTGTGAGGAAAATATTTAAACCTTTTCACCTCCAAACCTACTTTGGCCTCCCTACTTCCCCCTGGGTTTGGTTGTTCCCCCTTTAGCTTTAGTGGGAAAACACAGTGGGTGATTCCCACTGGACCTGTGCACTTGGCATCCCATCTGAGGGTGTTCTAGATAGATGCAGTCACTTGTGAATACCAGCATTACCTGTTCAACTATTTAAATACTCATGTGAGTATACTAGTCCTATCATGAGCATCCTTGCAAATTCTTGCCTTTGGTCTGCAGCACCTCTGATGGATCTTCATGTCCCAAGGAGCCACTCACCAAAGGCTTACTGCAAAACCAGCTCTCAGACTGGCTGGGCCATGTGTTGGATATTTGACTAGCTCTCCAGCAATTTAGAATTGTGTGTATTAAAAGGAAGGAAGCCCTCATAATTTCAATTTCCTCTGCTTTATCACACACAGGTAAAGCCACTTCACTCGCTTCCTTCCTCTTTTTGTAAACTCTACATATCTGTGTTTGGAAACCTCAGCTTATTTTTATGCTAACTGCACACACATTTAACATAATAACTGTGTGTGCACCGTTCGACAATGGTGAAATGCGTGTGCGGCACACAGAGCACAGGCACAGATCGTCAGTTCACCAGCAGGTAAGGAGGAGACCAAACAGCAACGCACTGATGGCAGCTCTCCAAAAGGGACCCATTTCTGGCCATTCTGTTTTGTGCTCTTCTATGCTGCGTGAACCAATGTGAGAAACAGAGCAGGTGAGGCACTACCTAGGAAAGCAGGAAAGACAGATTCATGTACTGAGGGTGTGCTGCACTCGTCAGGCCTGCTGTTAGCCAGCATGGAGGAGAAGGGAGGCCAATGGAATGGCCACGGAGCCGTTTGGTGACCGTTCCTCTGTATGCACATAAGGACAGTGAGCGTGCTGGAAGCCAATGGCCCCCTAATTCTGCCTGTGTGGGGCCGAGTAAATCACGGCTGCAGAAGCCACTCCTGGTTCTTGGAGAGTGTGTGTGCTGTGGTCTCCCTGTGCTGTGCAGCGGTTGCGATTTCAGGAGGTCAGTGTGCTGGGTTTCCAAACATACTGGAAAATCATAATCAGGCTGGAGAGGATAGAGGTATTTTCAGCCAAGGAAAGGGGGCAGTACAGTGTTTACATGGGATGCGGTACTTGGGCAGGCATTCCTAACCTCCTTAGCCCCACCAGCAACTATTGCCACAGAAACGTCTGCAGGGCCTGCTGAAGACTTCAAGGAGCTTATCAACAGAGCTGTCTCTCTCTTTGTCCTGCTTCCAGAACAAGCGGTTCAGGAGACTGTAGACACAGATTTCTATGTGAGGAGAAGACAGCACCCGTCTGCTTCCAGGAGATACCGTGAGGGTCACTGGTAAACACAGCTCTCCGTGGGTACCCTTGTTTTGACTGTAGCTCTCCTTGCAACCTCCCTCCTTTGTTTTCTTGCTCTCCTGGGCTCTGTTTATGCTAAGCTCAGATGTGTCCTTAAGCAGTCAGGGGGAGAGGAGAGCTGCTGGCACCTCCCAGTAGTGTTGGTGGCCCCGTGGGGAGGCGTTTGGTGGCCCTGGGGCTGGGGGCTGCTGCAGGAGGGAAGAAGAGCTGCAGGAGTGGGTGAGGGAAGGGTGACGTTGTGAGAATGGGGGATGTGGAGGAACACAAAATAATCCCGGGATGTTTCTCCTCCTCTGATGTGGCAGAAGCTCAGGCCATGCAGGAGGAGGAGGACTGGAGAGCAGGTGGCACCATTTCCTTCCTTGATGTGGGCCAGTGAAGAAAGGTTTTCATGAGTGACCTGAATTGCTTGACATGTCAGCAAGGGTTTCCATCACTCACTCTGTGTCCTATCTGGGGAAATGCAGTGGAAATGGAGAGGTCTTTCCCAATGAAATGCCTCTGGGTGGCAGCTGAGCCCCTGATGGCACCCAGCATCCAGCCAGCATCCTGTTGGGCTGCAATGGCCATGCAAGGCACTGCACTTGGTCTGCCTTGTCTGAGCTGTGCAGACGTGCTGGGAGTTGTGCTCTGGGTACGAAGAGGAAAGGCTTCTTTAGTGTGGCAGAGCCACTGCATGCAGGCTCATCCCTCAGAGTCCGCCAGGCTGACAGACTAGGGCTGAGGAGATTGAGAGTGGGCTCAGCCTGGAGTTTGCCATGACCCAGGTAACAGGAAAGGGAGAAACTGCACCTATGGAAGCCCCAGGTGTGCTCTCACAGCCAGGCAGCTGTCTGTCCAGTTTCCTGGCCACTTTGGGAAAAGTGGGAGAGCAGTGTGGGTATAGGGTTTGTGCAAACAAGAGAAGAGTGTGACTACCGTGTGCTGTTCAGCTACTAAAAAGCACCTGCTTGGGATTCTTTTTCCTTCACTGTTTCACTGCTCAATATTTAGATGCGCTCAGAGAACACTTCTGTAATCCACAGCTTGGGGGGCCTGGTTTCACACAGCCACGCTCCATCGTCATGCTTCTGTCTGACGTGGTGCACAGATGGATGTGTGTGCATACAGACACACGTGGCTGTGTGTTCTTCTAGAGCATCCGTGCCCAATTCCTCCTGCTTTAGCACACGTGAATCATTTGTTCGGGTTTCATGAACTAGATGCAGCTGCAGGTGGTTTACATACACATGCTCATGGTTAGGTACGCCCTCCCAGCGATGTTTGTGGTGCACTATCTGTATGCAATATATCATATTATCATCATTACCATCATATCACAGCATGTGTGTATGGGGTGCATGTGTAATGATAGTTTAACCTTGTTTTGGCTCTGCAAGGTAAGCCACCCCAAATCCTCTGTCGGAGCAATTTAGAGCTGACACAGAGCCCCTGAGCATCAGGTTATCTTGACAGCTGAAGTAACCTTCCTTAGGTATGCCAAGTATCTGCCAGTTTATAATTAGAGCCCTTTCCTTGGCAGCTGCACCAGTGCAATGTCAGCTCAGAGAGAGGTGGGGAGAGTGGAGAAGGGCTCTTGGTGCCTCTCAGCACACTGCAGAAAGGGCATTCAGAGAGCCCATCTCCCAGGAGGCAGCGAGCTGGGAAGAGGACATCCCTTTCTATCAGGGCTGCTGAAAGCAAGAATTTCTCATGCTCTCAGAGCCAAGGGTTTAAAGTGTGTTTTGACCACCTTTGCAAATGCCTGGACAAACAGCCTCAGCTTTTCATAGCTGAAATGCTCTTCAAGAATGGGCAGCAGGACCCTGCATGCTGAAAGGGCCTTTGACAATCTGATCTGCTGTGGTTGCTGGTTTTCTCATCTGCACTGTCACAGCTCAGCCCTGGTCTTATTTCATTCTGGTGTTAAGTCCAGCTTGGGACACAGAAGCCATTTGGGTTTTACACCCTTGCAAATAAGATGAGAGCTCAGGCTGGAGCTGTCAGTGTACAAAAAGCTCTGCAACCAGGCAGGCAAAGAGCAGCCTGGTGGGGCTGGTTCTCCTCTCTCCCCTTCCCATCCCCAGTATGGCAGTCGGGGCAGAGCACTATCCCAGCCAAGCAGTGGGATACTGCCAGCAGGTTCTCACTTTGCTCCCCATGATTTGAGCTGCCATGTCTTTTGGCCATGAGATACATCAGTAGCTCTCACCTGCAATCGCTGGGCTGAGGACCAGTGCTCTGCCTAGCAAGTGTCCTCCCTGCAAAGGTGGTTTGTTGGTTTGTTTCTGCTTTAGCTTCAGGATGCAATTGTCTTCCCCTCAGTAATTGCCTGCATATTTTTGTTCTGTTCCTTTCCTGCAGGCCTGAAACAGCCAGCAAGCCTGAGACCGACAGCACTTAGAGCAGTTGCTGGTACGTGTCCCTTCCCTCAGTGCCCATTGCATACAGCTCCATCGTGGTGTTAGGTGGCCACAGCTTGCAATGCCCCTCTGCCGTGGTCATTACATGTGGCTGTCCTGTTAAACCCTGTGTCCATGGACTGAGAATCAGACGGTCCCTGCAGAAGGCCACCTCTCCTCCCGACTTCCTCTGTCCATGCCCAGGGAGCCCCTGGGCAGCACTGCAGGGTGGGAGGGTTGGGCTGGTGTCCTGAGCTCAGTCTGCGCTTCCTATAATATCCCCAGCAGGCTTGGGGTCCCAATGCTTCTTCCTGGCCTGCATGCCATTGCCTCCACACCTGGATGCTTAGGGGAGGAGGATGGAGAGAGATCCCATCTCCTTTCTGTCTGCGTTGCCCTACCACTGCAAGGCTCCTGCCTCGGTCTCGTGGTCTCTGTGTTTTCCATGCGTACCTTGTTACCAGTCTAGAAGATCTATGCCCTGCTGGGATACAGCCTGAGCCTGTCTGAGCAAAACAGAGCTGGTAGAGGTGTTGCTGGCTGCAGAACTTTGCAGAGCCACCTGAACAAGCTGCCCGCTCACCTGAATTAGCTGCAGTTGCATTTACTCAGTGCCCAGAGAAATCCCAGGGCCCAGCAAGGGGCTGAGAGATGGTGAAAACTCCCATTTGTCAGGAGGATCAGAAATCCAGAAATGGAAATACACCTCTATAGCCATTACTGTCATCTGCCTTGAAGTGAATCTAGCCCTGTAGTAGGGGTTTGCTCCTGGGGAGCAGTTTAGGTGCCCACCAGTAGTGCCTGGTCCCATTGGAGCTACCTTTGGGATCTCCCCAGCTTCCTGCTGTCATTCCCAGAAGGCAGATCTTCTGTAAGCCCCGAGTTACAGCTCTCACACCTTGCAGAGCTTTGAGCTCATAGAATCTCTGGTGGAACTGGACACCTGTGCTTAAACACCTGAATTGCGTCCTGATTTCATCGTGTTTCCCAAATAAGTTTACATCTGATGTTTACCCTGCGTGGTGTAGGAAAAGGAACTGCCCCTCCTCTGCCCTTGTGGAGATCTCAGCAGTCTGCTGCTGGGAAAAGACTGGGAAAAGAAAGGGAAGGGAGAGGAGGAAGCAGAGCCCACCATCAGCACCAGCCTTGCTGCGTTTGCCTTCTGACCAGGTCACAGTCCACCAGCGCTTACTCGTACTCCTGCAGCCTCTGTCTTTGGGTACCAACTTAAGCCCAGCCTCACTCCCTCTCCTTCTGTTCCCCAACAGCTCCGGCTTCCATGGCGTGTGGTGGCAGCTTGCAGAACTTAGCGGCATTGCAGCCTTCCTGGAGGAGACCTGGAATGAACCAAGGGGTCTGTGGGGGGGGGGAGGTCAGGGCATCTTTATGGCATACCCAGGTGAGGGGTGGAGGAACATTCAACATTGCAGTTCTACTTTAGGTAGGGCAAAGAGCTTTCCCTGTGCTGAGGCCAGGTCAGGTGCATTTGCTGTTTCTTGAGAAATAAACACTCCATCTTATTTGTAAAGCTGCAGTGTTGATCCAATCAGAAATTTACTGGCAGCATCCCACACAGCTGCTGGGGTTGGCAGGCACCACTCTGCACCAAGAGAAAAAAGCAATGCCTAAAAACAGAAGGCAAAATCTCAAGAAGCACCAAATGATTTGGCCTGGCCAGTTTCTTTTTGAGTTAGGCATTGCAGTAAGTGCCTGTTTCAGGTTCCTTGCAGAATGCAAAGCTCTTAGCTGACCTGAGAACATCGATAGCTGGTAGCTGCCTGGCTTGACCCTTCTGGCTGAACTGAGATGGGGTTTGCACACACACTGCTGACACTGGGGGCTGGCAGTGCTTAGCTCCAGCAGGGGATTCGAGGCAGAAGCTGTTGCCTGCTGTTTCGGTTCAATATCTGCAAATTGAGAGAGGAGCCAGGGAGTGCTGGGGCTGGACACTGAAGGGTTTTCCATCTCCAAAGCCCTTTCCCATATGGCAGCACTTGAAAGTCAGAGGAGTTGGATGTGACCAGTGACATTGGTGACAGAGGCTCAGTGGGGAAGAAGAGTAAACAGTAGGTAGAAATGCACTGGGTGCTGATCCATCATCTACTAACCCACTAAACCCCATCCAACAGATTTTCAGTCCCTTCTTTGCAATGGAAAGGCTGCCCCGAAGGCCTTGCAGCGCTCTCTCATCTGCTGTGAGCACTTTACACCCTTGTGCTACAGTCCCTGTGATATCACATGGGATGTACAGTACCAATCAATGTAGTCTGCCAGGAAAAAAAGAAAAAAACACCTCTACAGATCTCTCAATTCACAGCCATTCCAGCCAGCAATGGGGGAAGGAAAAAAGCTGAAGTGGATAAATAGTGGGGATTTCCTCAGGATTTCATCTAGAATGGTTGCAGGTGAGCAACACAGAGGTGCTGAAAACAGCCTCCAAGCAGACAATGGCTGCCAGGGTCATCCTGTGTGTGGTGCTGCCCTTCCAGGCAGGATCCTGGCAGCACACAAAGCCTGCAGCTCCTGTAGCTCTGCCCCAGCTCCCCCGCAGTCTTCCTAAGCCCTGACATCTAATCCTAAGGGTGGGGAGCGTGTCCTTGTTGGGGGCTGTGAACTCCTGCCTGAACACTTCACCTTGCCCCTCAGATGGGCTCCTCACTCGAGCAGCAAATGCCTGACATCTCTCAGCCTACAAGGGACAGGCCAGCGGCTCTGAAAGCGCTTTGCTGGAAGCAGTACAGAGGTCTCCAGCTTCAGGAGGGCAGTGCGTGTTAGACTTGCTTGCAGCAGTAGCCTTAGAGGCAGCACATGCAGCAGCCTGCGCTGTAGAAGTAGCAGTGAAATGGAAAGGTCCTGTGAACACAGGGAGGAGCTCAGAGGTGCCTCTGTTGCAGCAGCAGAGCAGTGCTGCTCCGCACATACACGGCCAGGCACGGCTCACCACAGCTGGGTGCTGGCACAGGCTGGGGATGGCCCACAACCTCGTGCCTCCCACAGCTGTCCAGGCACCAGCAGCTGGGTGCAGGCTGCCCTCGTTTCAGGGTGCTTGGAAGCCTCCCCAAGGCAGCCTCCAGCAGCACATGTGTCTGTGTGCACAGCAGAGTCAGCCCGTTCCTCGTACGAACCACGAGCCATCAGAGCAAAACCAATAAACACTGAGCTCTTAGTGCCTCCTGCCTGCTGGAACTGCTGACCTGAGCCTCGCTGCCCCTCTCTGTTCTTCACCTCCCCACATCCCCTCCCCACTCAGTCCACGTGTCTGGTGGCACCTCGGCCGCATCCACCTGGCCTCACAGCCTTGTCTGGGCACAGTGCCTGCATGTCACCAGCGGGACGTGATGCAGCAGTGAGCACCCCCTGCTGAACACCCACTCACTGTCACCTCAGCCCCATGCTGGCTCCAAGCACATCCTTGCTACTCCCCAGGCCCGCTGGCGCGCATCCTGCAGCCAAGGCACAATAGCTGAGCTCGCTCCAACACCAAAGGACTCCACTGGAAGGCTGCAGCCTGCTCTGCCCCCAGAGGGAGCCCCCCACTGAGATTGGACCCCCCCCCCCATGGCAGTGAGAGCTCAAAGCTTTCCTCCTCATGCTGTGGCCCAGGGCTGCTGGCTCACATCCCCGCAACACAGACACAAAGAGAATGCGAGCATCAGCAACAGGGCCCAAGAACATCAGACATGAGTGGGACATGAACAGGAGGCCCAACCTGGTTTTGCCCCACTGCCCTGGGCTCCCTGCCTCACACTGTCCTTGCAGTGGGCCTGCCATGTTTTTTGCCTCCCCAGAGCTGTGGGTTCAGTGGGAAAGACCCAGGAGAGGCAGCAGGAGCTTTCTGTGTGCCCGAGCACCAGCAGAGTGCTCAGGGGTGTGAGGGGACATGGAGCAGGCTGGGATCACATGGGGGACACCAGGAGCCGTGGCCACCTCAGGCCAGAAAGGACTGAGTTGTGTTCCCTTGGGAAAGGGATTTTCCCCTCCCAACAGTTTTACACCACCCTTCGTGCGTCAGAAGCCCTGTGATTGCATAAACACAGTGCTTCCAAAAATCACAGAACTGCAGAATCACAGAATGGCAGGGGTTGGAAGGGACCTCAAGAGATCATTGAGCCCAGCCGCCCTGCTAAAGCAGGTTCCCTACAGTAGGTCCAGCACTCCACCACCTTTACCATAAAGAATTTCTTCCATATGTTAACACAGAACTGCCTGTGTTCAAGTTTTAAGCCATTGCTCCTTGTCCTATTGCTACACACCACTGAGAAGAACCTCATCCATTTGCCTCACATCTCCCTTTAGATATTTATAAACATGAATCAGATCCCCTCTCAGTCTTCTTTTCCCCAGGCTGAACAGAGCCCACTTACTTAGCCTTTCCTCATCAGGGAGGTGCTCCACGCCCCTCACCATCTTTGTGGCTCTGTCTTTAATGGTAAAAATGAGCAAACCTTGTCAGGAAGAACACGGGCTCACAGGACAGTCAGTTGCAATGCCTGCAGGCCAGGGCAACTGTGACACTGCAGAGCTCAGGTCAGTGCTCATCCCTGCATGGCATGCCCTAGTGCCAGACACCATCGCTCCAACGGCCGTGAGATGCAGCACCCCGTGCTCTCACTCCCTGTGGGCTGCCCCGCACTGCCAGGAGCACGCCGGGCTTAGCCTCTTCCCAGAACAACTGCAGCCCTTCTGGCAGAGCTTCCCCTCCTGCCGGAGCCCTGGTTTCCAGTTACAAGAAGGAGGAAAACACCAAAAACAGCAGGCTGCTGAGTCACCAGCAGGAACTCACATCTGGCTGGCAGCAGGAGCAGCACTCCAACAGCCGAGTGCTCAGCTAGCCTAGAGTGGGCCGGCCTGCTGCCAGCAGCTCTGAGCCCCCCATGCTCTGCAGGCTGACCCACTCCCAGCAGCTCCAAGAAACCCATGTTCTGTAGCAGGGCCAAACCAGTGGAGAGGTCGGCACAGGGGCCTGGCAGCCCCACAGCAGGCCTGGGGGAGCAGGGCACCAGATCGGTGGGAGGAGGGTCAGGAAGCCCCTCACCAGGGAAGGGGAGCCCAGCGCCACCTGGGGGGCTGCAGGCCGGGCTGGGTGCTGGTAGGTGCATGGCACGGACGTGGCATCAGGGTACAAGGGCTCACGGAGGTCCCACGTGAACCCTGTGCCATGGCCACCAGTGCTGGCTGCGCACAGCCACGCGGCACTGCCCGAGAGCCCTCCAAATCCTGGTTCCAACGCTGAGCCGTGCGAGGAGCGACGCACAGAGCTCCGGTGGGGCTGCGTGTCCCAGCGCGGAGAGGCAGGCGCACAGCAAATCCGTCCGTCTGTCCCTCGCCTTGGGAGAAGGAGCTCCTGGGACACGTATGTGGGGACACGGAGCTCGTGGACGGCTGCCGCAGCTCTAAGGCGGGTTTTTTTCCGCCGGGGCTGCGTGGGGTGACACCCGGGTTCAGATGGACGTCGCCCGTCGGAGCCGCTCCGGGCCGCAGCGCAGCGCAGCCGCCCCGCCCCCCGGTGCTGCCCCGATGGCGGCGGCGGTGCGTCCGGGCAGCGAGCGGCGGTGAGTGCGGGGACGGCTCGGGGTTGTGCGGGGCTGTGCGGGGCCCCACGGCTTCATCTCTGTCCCTGTCACCATGCGGTGGCCGCACCAGCATGGCTGCGAAGCGGGGACAAGGCAAAGCCGCCCCGCGGAGTTGAAGGGAGCTGCGCCGGCTCTGCTGCCCCGCAGGCTGTCCGTCCGGCTCCGCGTCGCTTGTTGCTTGCTGTGGTTTCTTGTGGCTTTCCTTCCGTCTGCGTGCAGCCCCGAGCCGGAGCTCCCCCTTCTTTCTCTGTTCTTTAAGTGAAATGGGGAGAGAACATGGAAATGGGGCACCTGTGGGAACGGGCTGAGGGGAGAGGCGAGTTCAGCTTCCATCTCTTTGGATGCTGGGAAGCACCGAGTCTGCCTGTGGGTGCTAACGGGGGGTTTGCAGAGACCCGTGCCTGGAGTGGGAAAAGAGATCGCCGTCCCTAGTAAATTCCCATGGAGACAGCTATTAGCAGTGACATCAGTGTTAAAGCTCAGGGCTGTGAAGCCTGAGATGGCTTTGTCCCACTGCAACCACTGCAGTGAATCTTGACAAACCTCTGAAGAAAGAGAAAGGAAAATTCGAGATGCCCACGCATGCAGGGCTTTTAAACCATTGAATTGCACTGCTGTGTTTCTGTGTTTCCTAACTAGATTTTGTCTTTTCTTCCCCCTTCCCCTGCCCCCACCCCGTGCCTTTTTAAGGAGCTGAGCTGGGAAATCCTTGTTCAAACCATCCTCTTCTCAGTTGGATTTTTGTGGGACCGCTGCTTTGCTCACTCCCTGGAGAAGTGCCTCTTGCATCCAGAGGTCTCATCCTGGTGCCCTGTGGTGGCCCAGCAGCAGTGTCCCTCTGTGCTGCTCCAGCTGTCAGAAGGACAGTTTTCTCCTCTAGGTCAGAACTGAAGCAAATCCCAGCTATCATCATGAGAGCTGTCTGGCTGGTTGGACTGATGGGGCTTATGTACATCTGGTTTCCCAAAGTTGCTGCTCAGAGTCCCATAAAAAGCCCCAGGGACCAGAAAACAGAGCACACCCTCTTGATCAGTGAAATCAATGCTGACACCCCAGGAGAGGACACTTCTGAGTTTGTGGAGCTCTATCACACCAGTGGTCAAACAGCCCCTTTGGATGGCTACTACCTGGTTTTCTACAACGGCAATGGAAACCAAGCCTACAAAGTTCTGAACCTCCAAGGCAAGGCTACTAACAGCCAAGGGTTCTTCCTCGTTGGCTCCGCCTCTGTGAAGCCAGCAATAGTTATTCCTAAGAACACCATCCAGAACGGCCCTGACGCGATCGCTGTGTATTATGGAAAAGGGAGCTACAAGGAAGGCATGAGTGTCACAGGTAAAGGACTGGTGGATGCCTTGGTGCATAAGACGAAGAAGACAGACAGAGCGGACACGCTGCTGGGGGTGCTGACCCCCGGCAGAGATGCTTTGCTGGAGGACTCCACCTTCAGGTCTATGGATGAGTCAATCGAAAGGTGCCGTGGGGCGGACGCTCAGTGGTTCTTCCAGGTGGCCGTGCCGACCCCAGGCACAGATAACCACTGCGTCCTCACTCCTCAGCTGAACGCATCTGCCGTCCTGATCAGTGAGGTCCACGTTGCCTCTTCTTTGGAAGATTCTGAGTTCATCGAGCTCCAGGGTCCCCACTCCACTGTGCTGAGGGACGTCGTCCTGGTGCTGATTGATGGTCGGACCAAAGACATTTATTTCACTATGGATGTTTATGGCAAGACTTCATTGGATGGGCTTCTCCTGATCGGCCCAGCACAAAGAGAAATCCCAGGTAAGGGCTGCACGTTGCTGGCTGCACGGAGCCGGGGGAGCTGTCTGCTGAGTCTGGGGTTGGAGGATGCTGTCTCTTTTTATGGTGGTTTGGCGTTGTGATGGATGAATGTGAGAATTCCAGCTCGGTACTCGGTGACGGATAAAAGAGCTAATGAAAGGAAAAGGAGCTGTATAAAGCAAGTAAAATATTGGCAATTATTAAAAAAGAGAAAAAATTATTAAAAAAGAGAAAAAAAATGAGGAGATATCTCAGGCTGCTCAAAGAGGCTGTGATGCCCCGTCCATCCCTGGAGGTGTTCAAGGCTGGGTTGGATGGGGCCCTGGGCAGCCTGGACTGGTATGAAATGTGGAGGTTGGTGGCCCTGCATGTGGTGGGGGGTTGGAGATTCGTGATCCTTGAGCTCCCTTCCAACCCTGGCCATTCTGTGATTCTGTGATTTGATACTACTGTGTAAATCCATTACTTGCTGGTATCTTGTATGGTGCAGTGTCCTGAACTCATAAAGGATATATTAGGATGGGAGAGATTCAGAGAAGGTTGGGAAGGATGGCCAGTGTGGGGCCCTGCTCAGAAGCAGAGCTCTCACCACACTGCCTGCCAGCACAGTTCCCACTTGTCTCTTCCCCTCAGTGCTCCCAGGCCACTGGAGGAGGAGGTGGAGGAAACGTCTCATTATTTTGGGTGCTCAAAAGGAGATGTTGCAGCTGGGGATGCTGACTCTGCAGATGCCTTGTGCAATTCTCTGACTCACCATTTGTGAGTCACGGTGTGTGTTCGTCACTCACAGATCTGGTTCCCACTTGCAATTCATGAAAGCTGAAGAACTGGGCCGTGT